GCATAACTGGGCTTCCTCATTTGAAAAAAAATCAATATCTCAACTGCCTTTCTCCATTTGAAGAGACTTATGTTCAAGAAAAACATCTGATTTTGGCAAATAAAAAGATGTTATTTTCCACCACAACAATACAAAATTACATATTGCAAAACAGACCTTGCAGCAGTTTAAATAGTTGAAATGGGAAACCCTCCAGCATCTGCTATATTCTTATGACTAGGTTCTTCCAAATTTTCATTTGTTCTGATCTCTACAGAACAATTTCAATCACCAAAAAATTTGTTTCAGTACATTGTTGAAAACTACCTAACAGTCTTCTTCCAACAAAAAGCACAAAGTTTCTATTGAAATGGCATCAACAAACTTGTAGAATGATGAGAGTTGTTAAAAAGAATGGAGATTATGTATTTGACTAATAAAAGTTTTTTTTTTTTTCTGTGAGTATAAAATTTTTGTTTTTAATTTTCTAATCGAGTACAAACTTTTGCTAGGATCTAATTTATATATACCCTCCTCACATGCACACATTTCTATTTCAAAATATAAAAGTTCAAGCAAGAAGACCTTCAATTAGTCTTCATTATTCATATAACTCATTGCATTTTATACCACCAATGTAATTATTACCTCAAGGCAAAAGTTTACACCAATTGATATATATATATATATATATATATATATATATATATATATATAAACACATTTTTAGTGGATACCTGTGCTTGAAAATGATGCTTTCCTTTTTATTTTATTTTAAACAGTGTGTCTATTAGCCTATACACTTGAGAAAAAACTTGGTAAGGAAAAATGTGCTCTCTGGCAGGGTTGGAACCTGTGCCCTTTGTAGGAGAAACCTTCATTTGATCTGGCATACTTTGACCACTCAATCCATTAATTATATATGTGGTTTGATCTAAAAGTCTTGGGGTTGGCGCTGTAAACTATAACACACATCAATTTGGCATTTAATCTCCTTCAAAGTAGTCCACTTCTGAAGCTATATACTTTGTCCAGTATTGTTTCCATTGATGGAAGCATTCCTGGAACTCTCTATTTTGGGTTAACAAGCAGCTGCCTGGTCACATTCACTTGGCTTTCCTCGACATCTTGGAATTTTCTTCCTTTCAACTGGGATTTGATTTTTGATGGGAAAAAAAGTTGCAAGGGGTAAGATCTGGGGAATATAATGGTTGTCAGACCTGGGGAATTTTGTGCTTGGCCAAAAACTGCTGCACTATCCATAGTGACTGGTTGAACATCCTTTGGTACAGTAAGATGACCCCACTCTTTACATTTTCCTTCCAAGCACTGTTATAAACAATGAAAGTTAGTAAGAACATTATAACTTAGTATGCATTTGAGATAGAATTCAAGGTCAATCTGTGCCAAGTGGCTTCACTCTGCATACTTTAACTCTGTTACCATAGCAATAATCCTGATACTTTTTTTGACCAGACCTTGTATGTATATATATGTGTGTATATATATATATATATATATATATATATATATATATATATATATATATATATATATATAAAAAGATTTTTATTTACCAGTCCAATTGATTTTTATCATTATAAATGTTATTTTTAGTGGATATGCATATTTGAATAGATGCTACATTTATATATCAAACATATTTCTTTATTTTTCTTGTCTTCTGGCCTGAATATTTGAGAAATCTTATTAAAGAAAATATAGACTCTCTGGAGGGATTCAGTGCATTTCTCTGGGAAGAGGGAAACTGTTGTTAGATCTGACATGCCTTAACCAACTCGGCCATGGAGCAGTCATGCTGATCAAGCAAAGTTTGAACAGTGTCTTTAACCAAAATCCTTCTCATTTATTTTTATATCTGCTCAGTTTGTATCCAAGTATAAAAGTAATTTTCTAAAGTAATGGATTTTTATTTATCAATCCGACAGGTTTTTAGCACTTTAAATGTTATTTTTAACAAATATTCATATTTGAGTAGATTCCCTGTTTATTTATTAAACAGTATATTTACTTTCATCTACTGGCTTGAATATTTCATATTTTTCTTTAATAAGATTTTTTTGAATATCCAGGTCAGTAGATGAAAATAAATATATATATATATATATATATTGTTTGATAAATAAATAGTGTCTACTCAAATATGAGTATTCACTAAAAATAACATTTAAAGTGATATATTCATCCACAACATTAAAGAATTTTTATTGCCTTTCTGTCCTTATACCACTTTTCAAGTTAATCATTTTCTTTAATTAAAAAGAGAAAAAAAATTGTTCTTTGTTGTAACCACTAATCAGACAAGTAGTGTTGCATAGAACATAACATGTGATAGTCTTTAGCTGGCAGTTCTCCATAGTCGCTTGACTGTATCATATTTGTACATAATGACAGGTGTTGTCATACAACCAAATCACTGGTTAGTTTCCTTGTCTGGAAAAAGATCTTAGGAAATGCTTCATTCAGTTGACTGTTCACTTCTGTTTTTTTTTACAATTAACATGTTCTGTATCTTGCATTTTCAGAATTCTTCCAGTTCATGACTTTTAAAGTCCTCAATTCTTTCATGGCCTTCATTTTAAGCTTTATCAACCATTCCCACATTGTATAATTACCATAAGATTCAATGATTCATTGCCTCACATCTGTTGTAATTTTTTTCCTCTTCAATATGAATAGTAAACACTATCTAAAGTGCACTTTATATTCAGTCATGATTTTCACCAAAATAAATTAAAATTATCACTTTTTTCTGCAAACAATGAATGAACAGAAAATTTCTCTAGCATTGTACAAAATATAATACTGAAATATTTTGCATGAATCTAAAGTTTGTAAATTTTAATTAAAGCAAAAATACCCAATGCATTTTATCAGTTAGTTCTGTTTTTGTTGTCAGTTTTTGATTTTATCATATCATGAAAAGCCTTATTGATTGTTTTTTTTTTTTTTAGTAGTGATCATATTTGTCTATCTTGAAAATAAATCGAAAATATAACATGAATAAAAAAGCTTTATAAAATCTATTTATCCACACAACACACACATTTCTATATCTAGTTAGTTAGACAGACATCCCCCACCATTATTTCCACTTCCAAGGTAGAAAATCCTAAAATTCAAGAAAATCTTTCAAATGTTTACCAAATTAATTTTTATTTGTAACTAGTTATTTTCTGTAAATCAGTTCTTGGATATATTTTAATATCTATGTAAATGTTATATGTTGTAGCCTCTGTTTGTTTGTTTGTTTGTTATCTAACTCCTAGGGTTTTGGAGATAGACCCCTGCCCCCATATCCACATATATTCTGAAACTACATTACCCAGGGTACTTTGATAAGTATATTTCATTTTGATCAAAGGGGATCCCTGGGGAGCACAAACTCCTTGACTAAAAATCCCCCCCCCTTGTTTTAAATTAAATTTAAATTTGAACAAGGGAATGACTCCTATCCAGATTATAGAAGGAGAATCAAGAAGATGGAGGTCACATCAGCAAGATCAAAATGAGACAATATTGATATCAAGTTGAGCAAGAAATCACCAATCAGTTTGTAGTGCCTTACAATACATATTTGTTGTGACAATTCAGCTGTCATATCAATGTTGAAATCTGCTCATCAATTCATTCAATCAAGTATGGCATCAAATATATATCAAAGGGGTCAGATAAAGTTATTTTTGCACAAACTCCCCATTGAAAACATTTTCCCTTTTGATTTAAATTAAATTTAAATTTGAACAAGGTAATGACTCTTATCCAAAATATAAAAGGAGAAATCCAGAAAATGGAAGTCACATTGTCAAGATCATTGAGTAACATTGGAATTATAACTATGATTTAAAATCAATCATCATTTTCTTACAAAAAAAAAAAAGAAGAAAAAAAAGAATGTGTGACATGCAGCAAGGCATGGGTAATTCGACTTTTGTGTGTGTGTGTGTGTGTATATATATATATATATATATATATATATATATATATATATATAACCACATGCTAATACTGGTGGTGATAAAACAGTGTTCAGTCTAAAATATAAGCAAACATTTATAGTAATAATAAATATACATTTGTTCTAAACTCAAATTATTATGAGAAATATACATTTATTCCTCACTATTTAGTACACCTGAGTTTCATGCACATGGTAATCATCAGGCACAAATTGTCAGTTTTCAATTTGTGTCTGATGATTACCACATGCATGAAATTCAGAGGTGTACCAAACAGAAGAACAAATGTATGTTTATTATTAGTATATATATATATATATATATATATATATATATATATATAGTTTTAAGGTATGCTATATTTATAGGTAAAAGTGCTCAGTATCAGGGATAGTGTGTGTGTGTATGTATATATATATAAAAGAGTGAACACAGATCAATACTGAGTGGTGACAGCTGTACATGGAGTCAGCCTAAGTCTATATGTAAGAAATGCAATAAATTGATGTATTTACATATTAGTATAATTATTTTTTCTCTCTTAATTTAAAAAAATTCTATTGTTATGATAATATGATGCATGCTTGCTTTCAATATCACTGAACATGCATCATGTTACCATAACAACGGATCTTCTTATTACTTATTAGTGTGAAGAGGTTGTTCCAGACAGAAAAATGAAACAAAAACATAGACACATTATTCATTATGTAAAGTTTCTTTACTCTTAAATATCTTCTATAATCGATTGAAAATATTATTGATCAATATATGAATTCATTACTATCTACCTGCCTTGCTATATAAGGTGTATGTTACTTATGCTCTAAAAGAAAGAAAATAATTACATAAAGCTTCACACTCTTTATAAAAAGATGAAAGTGATAAACGAGTAACAAGATTCAAGGCAGCATTCTCTTCATCCCTTTCCATTTTTTTCTGTAGCTTTCTTACTTCCTCTCTACTTTTCCTCCTTCACACTTTCTTTCCCTTTTCTCTTGCTTGTCACAGTTCTGATGTTGATGGCTGATTTTGTGGCGTATGTCCATAAAACTTGTGCATAGATTTTACACTGATTTTCAACTAAAGATTTGATCCAAACAATTCTTTCATTTTTGACAGGTATTAATTTTATTAAAAATTTTGGTCTTACACATTAATATAGTCAATGGAAATTCTGTTCTTGCAGAATAGTGTCAATAATATTGTTCACGAATCAATAAAATTTCAGAGAATCATTGCAGAGTAAATAATAGCAGTTTTCTGGAGCTCTACAATCTTAGTCTCAGTTATCTCTAAGCACCCTTTCAATTTTCTAGATGGTGGTAACATTATTATTTTTTTAATAGTATAATAAAAATTTGATATTTTTTCTGTTTTTATGAAGAGTAATGAAATGTCCTCAGCTTGACTAAGAAGGTATTTCAAAAAATGTTCTATTTGGACATTTGGTCAAGTTTTCCAAAGTGGCTCAGGCTGAGAACTTTTCAATACTTTTTCATAATTATATTTGACCTTTAAACAAAATGAGTTTTAAACAAAATTATACTTTTCTTTGTTTTTCTTCTTTCTAATTCTAATCTTTTCATTGGTTTTGTTTTCTTCAGTGCCAGCGGGCCTGGATAGAGCGAGTATTCTGTAAGAGAGAATGCATTAAGTTCATCCCAAGTTCCAGAGATCCTACCAGGTAAGGAAAACAACTATTGTTTATCTCAGAAAATACAACCATGGTTTTTCTCTCAAAATTCAATCAACCATCATACAAACACACACATACATACACAACCCAACTCTTATCTGATTGTATCATTTGATTTAGAATTCAGTTTTCTGCTTTGTTTTTATTCCAAATATATTTTCTTCTGACTTGCATTTGGATTGTTTGTCTCTGATCAGTTATTCCCTGATGAAATAAAGAGATACAAAATAATAGCAAAAATACTGATACTGATTTAGAAAAGCAATATCAGTCCAAGTTGGTAACTGAAAGTCATTCGAACATGCTTGACCTAAATGAAAATATTTTCTTTAGAAATCAACATCAAACCTCTGTGACCAATTTTTCTTATGCTTGATTGGCAGAAAAACTAATAATTAATTAATTATAGAAATTGTTCATGACCAACACCCATTTAATTAGTTTGGTATCTAAGAAGAAAATATTTTTCTGCCATTTTTAGCATTATTAGGGCCAACAATAAAATTTTAAAAAATATATATAATTGGAGTTAGCTCTCTTAGGGATTTTGGACTCTCTACAATCAGTGCTCGTTGGGACTTCCACAGAAACATAGAAACTAGGTCATAACAGACCTTCTCAAATATGAAAAACTATTCAACAGGTAAACTTAAAAAAAAAAAAAAAATTATCCCTTCAAAAATAACAGCTGGTTGGGATATCATGTTGAATTTAGCAAAAGAAGACAGTGATCTATGAATTGAAATGTTTATAAAATAAAATTGATTACAAATCTGAATAATGTTAAAATATAATCTAAAAAAGCATAAATATGGATGCACCATCAGTTAAATATTCTTAGTTCTGTGTTTTTTGTTTGTTTTTTTGTTTTTGTTTTTTGGAAAGTTGATTTTTTTTTTCTATGGCATATCAACCCATTGCAAATTATTTAAAGCCAGAAAATATTTTTACAGTGTAAGAATGTTTTTTTTTTTTTTTTTGAGATAATAATTTTATTAACTAGAAAAAAAGTTTGCATCTATAAATTCATTGATTTTCCTGATGTCAAATTATAGAATTTGAGTTTTTTTTAAATTTTTATTTGGTTTAAACTTTTACTCCAATACAAGGCTCAAGAGCCACTCAAAGTAGAGGGTTACACTTGAAATGGTAATGATGAATAAAGTGTGTGATATGAATAGAAGAAAAGGTAGTAAGAATTGAAAATTATGCAAGAAGGATAGATAACTATTAATCTGGTCTGTTCCACAAAGTAACTATCAGGTAATTTAAAAAATGTTAGAACAAAGGGATTGCATAGGATACCGAACCATGTGGTATTTAGCAACTGAAGGTAATAAAGTATTTTAAAAATACAGTGTGCAATGGATAAATTGTGATCTAAATTACGCAAAAATTAAAATAACACTGGCATCTCATTTTAACAGATTTACCAAAATTACACAAAAATATCTTGATGTACTAAAGAGTAAATTTATTCAATAAAATTACTATTGGCTTTAACCATGACCTCCAGAGGACTTCAGAATCTCTTGCAACTCTTCTGGATGGTCTCCTTGTTGGTGAATGCTGTGACAATCTTTACCTTCAGTTCATCTTTGGTGTTACAAGGAGTTTTGTTGGTTTCTTGCTCAATTGTACCCTACACATAATAATTAAGGGGGTTGCAGTCTGAGGAGTTAGGTGGTCAGATGTAAGGGGTGATGTAATTGCAGAAATTATCTGACAGCCATGGCTGGGTTCTCCTGCTAGTGTGACATGGTTCCAGGAGCCACCCTCTTGACCCATGGCAGCACTACTTCCTCAAGGCACTTGATGTAGGCCTCCACGTTGGTAGCCCTGTGGGAAGATGAATGGAGGCATAGTGTCACCATCACTAGTGATCACACCAAACATCTTTGTAATGACTATTCGACTCTTGCACCTCTTTCTGAAGCCTCTTCGCTTTCCCCAGATTGGCACCCAAACATTTTGAAATGTTTGCATTGGAGCTTCCAGTTCGAATTCTAAGCAGTACAGCATGCCATTTCCAAATTTCTGGTGGAATGAATTGCATCAATTTAATCAAAGACAGTGCCCAACTGACCCTACTATACTGTGCAATTGACAAAATCAAAAACAACCAATGCACATGCACAAAATTAAAAATATAAAATGGTGACACTTTACCCATGGTAGTTAGACCTTAAGGATTTTGATATTTAATTCAAGGACAACTTTTCCTTTTTTAAAAACATGTGACAACTTTTCGAACAGTGATCATGAATTCATTTTTTCAAAGGAAATAAAACATAGTGCACATTGTATAAAATGTGCTTAGATCCTTGCTCATTGACATCTACATGGGTCATAGTGTGTTATTTTTGCATTGTGGTAAGAAGAATGATTACAATTTGCTGATAAAGATATTACTGTAGACAAGTCTGTATATTTATCACTTGTCACCAAATTTCAGATGTGAAATGGAAACCGATTTCTTTTTATATTTTCTTGGGAATATATAAAAGACAGATAAATAGCATGAATCATTTATGGTACCAAAAAATGTTTTAAGTGCCAGGTTTATGAAAAATAGGATAGCTTCTGTCAATGCTACCATTGCTGCAACAACAATAATGTGTAAAAAAAGAAAAAAAAAAAATTGCTAATTTGGTGGAACCATTGACTCGTCCATATTTTTTGCAGTGAGTTAGTAGGTGGACACACGTAATTTAATAGGGAGATCTTTTTTGCTTACATAGAAGAAAATGGTTTCTATATATTGCATTTTCTAATGGGCTAGTCTCAGCAACCTTACGGTATGTCTTTCTGTATTATGGAACGTAAATATCCTCTAGCATTTAAAGCTCACATGCAATCAATATCCTAGCATTTTCATTTTGCTCTCTATTCTATACACATTTTTTTTTTCTTTCCTGTTTCAATGTTTGACCAATTCTTTTCGTCACTTGTTGTTTTCTGACATTTTACTTTGGCATTGGGTACCAGAGGTGGCAAAAATGGCACTTCAAACTGGTGACAAGAATGTGAGAAATAGCAAAGAAACATTGTTTCCATTTTATTTCATGAGTTACATTTAATTTAAGTCTTCTATTTCTTGTTATAATCTATTAGAATTCTTCAAGCTGTTTTGCACTGGCATCTTGATTTTTATTTTTCCTTTCAAACTGGTTAAAAAATTGAAGTGAAAATGAAAATACTGTCCCTTCCACTCTAAAAAGCACAATTACCTACCTGTTATATATCACGATAAGTTATTATCACTGAAGAATTCAACACTTTAATGATTACAAAATTAAGCTTGGTACAGGTTTTATATCATGCTTATCAATTCTATGGTAACTATTGTTTGGCTGATCGCTTTTAAGCAAGGGTTGATGATTAATGCTAAGCAGAAATCCTAAAATTATTTATATTAAAAGATTACTTGACAGTGACAAAAATGATGAGGCACTGAGGCTATCTTTTATTCTTCATCCACCTTTGCATCATGTATCTTTTATTAAATGCTTAATTTGAACATTTCAGCAATATGATTAACATTCTCTTTCAAGGGACACATATATATATATATATATATATATATAGATAAATCCTTCACACTTGCCCATTTGTTTATAAGAGACTGGGAGGAGGTCATCATTTTGTTTCCAAATATCACTTATTTTATTTGTTTTACAATTATAGTATTTTCTTTGTATATGAATTTTCTATCAGTTTGATCATATCCAAAAGTTCAAGAAACTTAGGGCCTAATAAGGCTTCTTCAAAGAAAGAAAGAATAATCTAATAAAAATATGAAGTTCTTTATTTTCTGTTAAGATCTTGAGAGATGCATGAAATGTTTAGGAAATATTGGGGGATTTTGACAGATACACAGATTGATATAGCTTCTGGTTAGGACCTTCTATAAATGCATACACACACTTTTTATTTACACTGGTGAGCGGTTTCAAGATCATTTGGATTACTCCGTATTCTTTTAATCTGAATGTGGCCAAGAACATATCCAATGTTTTATTTGTAATATCAGAAAACATTTTTCCTTTTGTTTTGTCAGTAAAGTGATAGTATTTATACTGATTGGCTTAAGAAAGTTTTAATTTGTCAAAAACCATGAATCTTTCTGTTTCTTCCTTTTCTTTTTGCCTGCTTTTATCAACCCAAACAGATTATAAATCCATGATTAAACTGAATAGACCAGAGTAGCAAACATCCTGAAGAAGGCTGAAGCGTACAATGGCCGAAACATTGTAATAAATATGGTGACAAAGATGAGGACAATAGTCTGAATAATTTAAATAGGGAATATTAAACTTCAGTTGACATACAGGGTGTCCATAAAGTATTGTTAAAATTTTTAAAAAATTATTACAAAAGCAAAGGAACAAATATGTAGAAATTGTTACAAAATGAAGAGTAAATTTTGAAGTTTTTTTTTTTTTTTTTTTTTTACTAATACACTTCTATATGGGCACCATTAGTTGCATGAAGCACATCAAGACAGTACGATTTCTTGCCATATTTACTGGTCAATGGTGGCAATGGCATCAGTGATCTTTTGCTTTATATCAGTGATGTTCCGTATCTTTGTTTGATACACAATATCTTTAACATAACCCCATAGAAAGAAGTGCTTTAGCTTTGCTAAGTCTGCATATCTGATTTTGTTTCAATAAACTATGACACATATTGTGCCTTTTCTTGAGGAGTAGCCATTTTTTAGGGGTTTGTTTAACAGTATCTCTTTCATCAACAGGATACCTGAAATACACAAATGCAATGTGATTAAAAAATTTGATAGCTACTGAGTACATAGAACAAATCTGATTAATATATCTCATCAATTGCATTTGTAATATATTTTTTAAAAATTGTAATGAGACTTTATGGATAACACTCTATGATTATTTATGAAATGTCTCTGGAAAGTATCCAACCATTTTGAATCTCTTGAGAAATGGTTAGGTAGCCTTGATGCAGTTAGC